TAAGCAAAAACCAATAGAGAGACCTCGACACAAGCACAAGCAGGAATAATCCTTGGATTTCAATATTGCTATTGAATGTGAAAATCTAGAAGGTTTAGGCTGATAAGATATTCGATAGCCTACAAGTTAATTTTGAACTTATAGTTGATATCTTATGATTTATGGCTGAAAAATTAACTAATATGATAAATGATATGATAAAAATTTTTGGTAAAATTAGCTGATATATCCGCCAAAATAAAATTTTCAACGAACTTTTTTTAAAAGATACCCAAAGAAACTTATTAGATAAGTTCGAGTTTTCTAGAAAAAGTTGGTTCTACCGAACTAAACTTATTTGTATATTGAAAATTTATAACCAAATAAGTTATAAACTAGTTTATGGTGCTTATCAAACATACTCTTATTTGTTTTATATTTCTCTATATGTATAATTTAATTCATGTAAATATTGCTATATAATAATCCGACGGTATTTTTGTTCATAATCCAACGGTTCAATCGCTGGTCTGGGCATGATACGGCCGTTCAAACTTCAAACCCCCCGTCGGCAATATGATTCCAACCTTCCCCTCCAAAAAATACCACATTAGGCAAAAAAAAAAAAAGTAGCCCCAAAAGTTACTACAACTTGTTAACGACGGTGATTTTCTTCTCATCACAGCACAATATCGTTTCAATGATGGAAAGTAAGTGACAAAGCATATAAAATTAACTCTGAAATCTTAACCAAATTTGGCATGCAAAATACATTTGGGAAAATATGAGTTGTCAACCAAAAAAAAAAATTAAGACAGACTCAGGGTGTTTACAGTCTACAATCCATACAAGGATACCAAGCCAGTTTGGACATATCATGCATACGTGTAACAAGGATACATTATTAGATATAGTGTGTGTGTGTGTGTGTGTGAGAGAGAGAGAGAGAGAGAGAGTATATGATACCACAAAAATTTACAAGAACCTCAAATTCTGTCAGGAAAGACTGAAAAGCATCGACAGAAATTTACAAAGACCTCAAACTTCTTCAAGAGACAGACACACACACAGCTTACGGCTGTGATCTTTTGTCTGACAGAGCAAACATGAAAGATGGACTAACACTTGAAATATCCCAAGATAAATCAATTGGTAGAAGAAGATGGAGAGCGCCCGATAAGTCTACACTGTTCGGGAAGTAATGAGCACATGACCTGTCCATTCACTCGGAATAGTTCGCCATCAATGCCACATCCATTGTGCGTATGCTTTCCAGGTTTTATCTTAACCGACTTAACCTGCATTTAGCAGTTTGGGTCAAGTCAAATCCACAGTAGAGCTGATGAGTAAATAATGATTTAACGTCAATGCTTCACTTTACACTCGTTATGTAACAAACACGACCAAAAATAAATAAGCAGCTGGATTACTCTATATCCAAAAGGAAAAAGAAGATACTGTTTTTATTAGTTTTATCATTTCTTCTTTCTTTTACGATTTGCTCGAATATTTGTGAAGTTTTCAGTTTAGGGTTTAGCTAGAGTATGGTATATCACCTTGGGTTTTCTTGGTCCCATAGATAATAGTAACCAAGTATCACGACGAAAAAGATTCTAAGTGACAATTGCATTTTGTCAATCAAACTATTGTGAGTTTCTCATCTTGCCCAATAAACTTCGGGATTTCGCATTTGCATGCCTAACTGTGAACTTTTTTCACTTAACCATTTGGGAGCAGATTCTCTTAAGAAGAAAGCCCAACACATCATATAGTTCAGAGGGCACCACATGCATTTTCAGAGTTGATAGGGAAAAAATGCAAGAAGCTCAATAGTTTGGAGGACAAAATGAAACCAACTCGATCAGTATAATTAATCTAGCATCTTTTACTTGGACACAGACTCGGTGCAAAAAGAATGCACCTATACGTAATATTTCTATGTTCTCTTTAAATATATCTTCTTTGCTTTCAGCTCCTTTCATTTTCGATCTCCACATTAAATTGAATTATCGACA